AAATTTGACACGCACACATCAACGGTGCGTGACAAATGAGCCTAGGTCTTCCCAGGAAAGACTTCCATATATTGCGCGCCTTCGTGTTTAAGTGCGAATTTACACAAAGCAAAGAATCATATAGCGATTTTAAATTAAGTATTAGAGAAACAAAACGAAGGTTGTCAAAACAGGTGGCTAGTTAGGGCAAGGATATATGATACAATGCGGTCTCAATGGATGATGGGTTTTACAGCTAACGCAGTTAAATTGAAGTTTTTGTAATTTTATGGCTAACGGTACACAAAGTAACAGTGGTAGAAAGGAAATATCTTCACTGTTACCTTTGTTTACGACTAACGGTTAAAATATGTCAAATTTTACACCTTACATTTAAGTTTTTGGCCGTTTTACGGCTAATGGTCAATCCAAATGAAACACTCTTACAAGGAACCAATCGAAACTTAAAGTGGAAACGCGAGACTAGCCTTAAGGCGGGAAATCTCAAGTGACCTAGTCTCAGTTTTAGACTTGATTGGTTGTGCAAATCAGTTAAGGTAAAAATACTCCCAAAGCAAAAGGCGACAAAACATGCAGGGTTGTCAAAACAGCCAGACAATCAGGGTTAGGGCGTATTTTAAAAGGAATCAATCCGAACCTACAGCGCGGGTGGGCGAAATCGTCCTTGAGGCGGGAAAATATCCAGTGAAAAAAGTTTTAATTTAGATCTGACTGGCAATTAAGAGCCGGGATTGTGCAAGTTTTAAGGTTGAAAGCATAGCATATTGTGACAAAACATTGCAGCTCTAAACTGCTTCAATGCTCAAAAGAAAATTGTTCTTCTTCTCGTGCATCTTTCGGAAAATGGTAAATACCACAGCGTACACTATTACGTTAGGGATGCACGTGGGAGGTTGCTAAGCATTGTAGCAAAAGACCTTCTATCTAACACTGAAATCCTACGTGACCAGAAAATAACAAACGCGCGGAAACTAGTCTTTTCACTTGCTCACGTCAGCAGCGCACACCCATAGACAAATGGTGGACACTGAATTGACCAATAAGAGGGTGCGCTTTACTTTGATTATGGTATAAAATTATTTAGCGCACATAGATTTTCCAAAAATCTCATGGAGACGCGATGGTATCATGAGTCATATCATCGCAAAAACAGTAGTATTCTCTCAAATACCAGTAATACTTAAACCCAACAAATGCATCCCTATCGTATAACCGGAGCTCTTTCTTGCGCTCTTGCCTTTCCCATTTTCCCACATAATACCTGTTTTCATGTCCCCACCTTTCACGCTGCGTTGCTAAGTTTGAGTTATCCCCGTGCATTCTCTGAAAAGATCCACATGAAGTGGGCGTTACATTTGTCTGACCGCTAAAGTACTGGACTACAGCTCCGCCAGACCTGTTAGCTACTGTGGTCACGTGGAACGTACGTCCAAGTTTTTTACTGCAGTGGAATCTATAAGCTGAATGAAATTCAAGTGTAATCTGAGATCTTGCATCGCGTTTGTTACAATACCCATGTTGTTGTTGGTAAAGTTGCTGATTACTCGGTATGATCATTTTAAAATCCATCTGATGAATAGAGAAGAGCCATCACTCACTCACAAAGTTCGCGACAAGAAGCCATCCTCCTGAAATTAAACGAAACGGAATTCAAAATTCTTACAGCGCTGATTTTAGCCTCTCACGATGAATGTTCTTAAATCATTTTCAATCGTTCATCTTGAATTGAAGCGCAGTAGTCAGTTCTTGCTAGAGGTTCTCTCGTATGTACAACATTTTTAATAAATTTTATCAAATAGCTGCAAGCGCCCAATTGTATCCGATGATTGACCCACTTATCTAAATAGAGGCATTGCCACGTGCTATCCCTGAATCAAAGTGCAGACATGTTTTCTCT